GGTGACGGTTTATTCCCTGGGTGACAGTTTATTCCCTGGGTGACGGTCTATTTCCTTGGTGACGGTCTATTCCCTGGGTGACTGTCTATTCCCTGGGTGACAGTTTATTCCCTTGGTGATGGTCTATTCCCTGGGTGACGGTCTATTTCCTTGGTGACGGTTTATTCCCTGGGTGACAGTTTATTTCTTGGGCGACGGTTTATCCCCTAGGTGACGGTCTGTTCCCTGGGTGACGGTTTATTCCCTGGGTGATGGTCTATTCCCTGGGTGACGGTCTATTCCCTGGGTCTATTCCCTTGGTGATGGTTTATTCCCTGGGTGATGGTCTACCCCTGGGTGACGGTTTATTCCCTGGGTGATGGTTTATTCGCTGGGTGACGGTCTATTCCCTGGGTGACGGTCTATTCCCTGGGTGCCGGTCTATTCCCTGGGTGACGGTTTATTCCCTGGGTGACGGTCTATTCCCTGGGTGACGGTCTATTCCCTGGGTGACGGTCTATTCCCTGGGTGACGGTCTATTCCCTGGGTGATGGTCTATTCCCTTGGTGATGGATTATTCCCTGGGTGATGGTCTATTCCCTGGGTGACGGTTTATTCCCTGGGTGATGGTTTATTCCCTGGGTGATGGTTTATTCCCTGGGTGATGGTTTATTCCCTGGGTGATGGTTTATTCCCCGGGTGACGGTCTATTCCCTGGGTGACGGTCTATTCCCTTGGTGACGGTTTATTCCCTGGGTGATGGTTTATTCCCTGGGAGACGGTCTATTCCCTTGGTGACGGTTTATTCCCTGGGTGATGGTTTATTCCCTGGGAGACGGTCTATTCCCTGGGTGACGGTTTATTCCCTGGGTGATGGTTTATTCCCTGGGTGACGGTCTATTCCCTGGGTGACGGTTTATTCCCTGGGTGACAGTTTATTCCCTGGGTGACGGTCTATTTCCTTGGTGACGGTCTATTCCCTGGGTGACTGTCTATTCCCTGGGTGACAGTTTATTCCCTTGGTGATGGTCTATTCCCTGGGTGACGGTCTATTTCCTTGGTGACGGTCTATTCCCTGGGTGACGGTCTATTCCCTGGGTGACGGTCTATTCCCTGCGTGACGGTTTATTCCCTGGGTGACGGTCTATTCCCTGGGTGACGGTTTATTCTGTGGGTGACGGTTTATTCTCTGGGTGATGGTTTATTCCCTGGGTGACGGACTATTCCCTGGGTGACGGTCTATTCCCTTGGTGACGGTTTATTCCCTGGGTGACAGTTTTTTTCCTGGGCGACGGTTTATTCCCTAGGTGACGGTCTATTCCCTGGGTGACGGTCTATTCCCTTGGTGACGGTTTATTCCCTGGGTGATGGTTTATTCCCTGGGAGACGGTCTATTCCCTGGGTGACGGTTTATTCCCTGGGTGATGGTTTATTTCTTGGGTGACGGTTTATTCCCTGGGTGATGGTCTATTCCCTGGGTGATGGTCTATTCCCTGGGTGATGGTCTTTTCCCTGGGTGACGGTTTTTTCTCTGGGTGATGGTTTATTCCCTGGGTGATGGTCTATTCCCTGTGTGACGGTTTGTTCCCTGGGTTATGGTCTATTCCCTGGGTGACGGTCTATTCCCTGGTTGACGGTTTATTCCCTGGGTGACGGTCTATTCCTTCGGTGACGGTCTATTCCCTGGGTGACGGTCTATTCCCTGGGTGACGGTCTATTCCCTGGGTAATGGTCTATTCCCTGGGCGACGGTCTATTCCCCGGGTGACGGTTTATTCCCTGGGTGACGGTTTATTCCCTAGGTGACGGTCTATTCTCTGGGTGACGGCCTATTCCCTGGGTGACGGTTTATTCCCTGGGTGACGGTTTATTCCCTGGGTGATGGTCTATTCCCTATGTGACGGTTTATTCCCTGGGTTATGGTCTATTCCCCGGGTGACGGTTTATTCCCTGGGTGACGGTCTATTCCCTGGGTGACGGTCTATTCCCTGGGTGACGGTCTATTCCCTGGGTGACGGTTTATTCCCTGGGTGATGGTTTATTCCCTGGGTGACGGTCTATTCCCTGGGTGACGGTTTATTCCCTGGGTGACAGTTTATTCCCTGGGTGACGGTCTATTTCCTTGGTGACGGTCTATTCCCTGGGTGACTGTCTATTCCCTGGGTGACAGTTTATTCCCTTGGTGATGGTCTATTCCCTGGGTGACGGTTTATTTCCTTGGTGACGGTCTATTCCCTGGGTGACGGTCTATTCCCTGGGTGACGGTCTATTCCCTGCGTGACGGTTTATTCCCTGGGTGACGGTCTATTCCCTGGGTGACAGTTTATTCTGTGGGTGACGGTTTATTCTCTGGGTGATGGTTTATTCCCTGGGTGACGGACTATTCCCTGGGTGACGGTCTATTCCCTTGGTGACGGTTTATTCCCTGGGTGACAGTTTATTTCCTGGGCGACGGTTTATTCCCTAGGTGACGGTCTATTCCCTGGGTGACGGTCTATTCCCTTGGTGACGGTTCATTCCATGGGAGAGGGTCTATTCCCTGGGTGACGGTTTATTCCCTGGGTGATGGTTTATTTCTTGGGTGACAGTTTATTCCCTGGGTGACGGTCTATTCCCTGGGCGACGGTTTATTCCCTGGGTGACGGTCTATTCCCTGGGTGACGGTTTATGCCCTGGGTGACGGTTTATTCCCTGGGTGACGGTCTATTCCCTGGGTGACGGTCTATTCCCTGGGTGACGGTCTATTCCCTGGGTGACGGTCTATTCCCTGTTACTGAAACGGGACGTTGAGGTTGAGGGGGTTGCTCGGGACTACTTCTTCAGCAACCCCCTTCTGGTAGGGATGGCAATTGTCCGCCTGTATGGTTTGTCCACCCCACCAGGCATGGTTTATTTCTTGGGTGACGGTTTATTCCCTGGGTGACGGTCTATTCCCTGGGTAATGGTCTATTCCCTGGGCGACGGTTTATTCCCTGGGTGACGGTCTATTCCCTGGGTGATGGTCTATTTCCTTGGTGACGGTCTATTCCCTGGGTGACGGTCTATTCCCTGGGTGACGGTCTATTCCCTGCGTGACGGTTTATTCCCTGGGTGACGGTCTATTCCCTGGATGACGGTTTATTCCGTGGGTGATGGTTTATTCCCTGGGTGACGGTTTATTCCCTGGGTGATGGTTTATTCCCTGGGTGACGGACTATTCCCTGGGTGACGGTCTATTCCCTTGGTGACGGTTTATTCCCTGGGTGACGGTTTATTCCCTGGGTGATGGTTTATTCCCTAGGTGACGGTCTATTCCCTGGGTGACGGTCTATTCCCTTGGTGACGGTTTATTCCCTGGGTGATGGTTTATTCCCTGGGAGACGGTCTATTCCCTGGGTGACGGTTTATTCCCTGGGTGATGGTTTATTTCTTGGGTGACGGTTTATTCCCTGGGTGATGGTCTATTCCCTGGGTGATGGTCTATTCCCTGGGTGATGGTCTTTTCCCTGGGTGACGGTTTTTTCCCTGGGTGATGGTTTATTCCCTGGGTGATGGTCTATTCCCTGTGTGACGGTTTGTTCCCTGGGTTATGGTCTATTCCCTGGGTGACGGTCTATTCCCTGGTTGACGGTTTATTCCCTGGGTGACGGTCTATTCCCTCGGTGACGGTCTATTCCCTGGGTGACGGTCTATTCCCTGGGTGACGGTCTATTCCCTGGGTAATGGTCTATTCCCTGGGCGACGGTCTATTCCCCGGGTGACGGTTTATTCCCTGGGTGACGGTTTATTCCCTAGGTGACGGTCTATTCTCTGGGTGACGGCCTATTCCCTGGGTGACGGTTTATTCCCTGGGTGACGGTTTATTCCCTGGGTGATGGTCTATTCCCTATGTGACGGTTTATTCCCTGGGTTATGGTCTATTCCCCGGGTGACGGTTTATTCCCTGGGTGACGGTCTATTCCCTGGGTGACGGTCTATTCCCTGGGTGACGGTCTATTCCCTGGGTGACGGTCTATTCCCTGGGTGCCGGTCTATTCTCTGGGTGACGGTTTATTCCCTGGGTGACGGTCTATTCCCTGGGTGACGGTCTATTCCCTGGGTGCCGGTCTATTCCCTGGGTGACGGTCTATTCCCTGGGTGACGGTCTATTCCCTGGGTGACGGTCTATTCCCTAGGTGATGGTCTATTCCCTGGGTGACGGTTTATTCCCTGGGTGACGGTCTATTCCCTGGGTGACGGTTTATGCCCTGGGTGACGGTTTATTCCCTGGGTGACGGTCTATTCCCTTGGTGACGGTCGATTCCCTGGGTGACGGTCTATTCCCTGGGTGACGGTCTATTCCCTGGGTGACGGTCTATTCCCTGGGTGACGGTCTATTCCCTGTTACTGAAACGGGACGTTGAGGTTGAGGGGGTTGCTCGGGACTACTTCTTCAGCAACCCCCTTCTGGTAGGGATGGCAATTGTCCGCCTGTATGGTTTGTCCACCCCACCAGGCATGGTTCGTCACCACATGCATGTACGTCATCTCCATCAACCATCCGTCTGCCCCATCTCTCCCACCTCTCATCCCACCGATGTTACCACCAGGCATGGCTCGTCGCTCTCATAACCATCTGCCTGCCTCATCCCTCCCGCCCCACCAGGCATGGTTCGTCACCACGTGCATGCATGTCATCCCTATCAACCGCCGCAAGTTCTCCCAGCAAGAGGTATGTTCTTCTGAGAGTTCTAAAATACCGCAAGTTCTCTCAGCAAGAGGTATGTTCTTCTTAGAGTTCTAAAAAAGCGCAAGTTCTCCCAGCAAGAGGTATGCTCTACATGCGGTGTGTCATGCACGGTATGGTGCACGCACATTGAGGTGTATTTTGAGGCGCCTTTTGAGGCGCCTCAAAATTAGTTCTCCGAGCAAGACGTATGTCACGCTCAGTATGGTGCACACGCACATGGAAGAGCTATGCTGCTTTGCGCATGTAAGTGGTATGATGCAGTGCTCATGCAATAGCTGTGCAATGTACAAGTGTGTTGGGAGTGGACGAATAGAATGCCAACCCAAGATGCCCTTTTGAGTTGTCTCAAACATAGGATGCCAAGCCAAGCCGCCCTGTTTAACCCACAACGAGGTGACTTGGATTTTGAGTCGGCTCAAAAGTCACCTTGTTGCAATAGCTATGCAGTGTGGACAAATACGATGCCAAGCCAAGCCGCCCTTTTGAGACGTCGCAAGCATAGGATGCCAAGCCAAGCCGCCCTTTTGAGACGTCTCAAACATAGGATGCCAAGCCAAGCCGCCCTTTTGAGACGTCTCAAGCATAGGATGCCAAGCCAAGCCGCCCTTTTGAGACGTCTCAAACATGGGATGCCAAGCCAAGCCGCCCTTTTGAGACGTCTCAAGCATAGGATGCCAAGCCAAGCTGCCCTGCTCTCATCACTCTCTCCCTTCGCTCATCACTCTCTCCCTGCTCTCATCACTCTCTCCCTGCTCTCATCACTCTCTCCCTGCTCTCATCACTCTCTCCCTGCTCTCATCACTCTCTCCCTGCTCTCATCACTCTCTCCCTGCTATCATCACTCTGTCCCTGCTCTCATCACTCTCTCCCTGCTCTCATCACTCTGTCCCTGCTCTCATCACTCTGTCCCTGCTCTCATCACTCTGTCCCTGCTCTCATCACTCTCTCCCTGCTCTCATCACTCTCTCCCTGCTCTCATCACTAACCTTCCTGAATTCGTTTTGCACCATCCTACCACTCTCCCACAAAACTGTCATTCACCTCGTCACTAGCGCCACACTCAACTCCAGCTCCTCAAGCCCACCAGCAGCCCTCACTGCCCCACAGCAGTGCCCATCCTCCCCCCCTTGCTCTTGTTATCCCTACATCCCTTTCTTCTCCTCCTCTTTCCTCCTCTTCTCCCTCTTCCCCCTCTCCTCCCTCTCCTCCCTCCTCCTCCCACCAGCAGCTGGACACTCTACTAGAGCTCAAGGCAACCAGCAGCCGTCATCCTTCCACAGCAGTGCTCATATACCCTTCCTTGCTCTCCTTGCTCTATCCTTTCCCCCTGTTTCTCTCCTCCTCCCTCTCTCCCACTCCCGCCTTCACCACCAGCTCGACACCCTACTAGAGCTTAAGGCAACCAGCAGCCCCCACCGCCCCACAGCAGTGCTCATCCTCCCCTCCTTGCTCTCAACACCACAACATCTCTCTCTTCTCTCTCTCCTCCCTCGTCCCTCCCCTCCACCTCTCCCACTCCCACCACCAGCTCGACACCCTACTGCAGCTCAAGGCAGCCAGCGGTCCCCATCGCCCCACAGCAGTCCTCATCTTCCTCTCGTTCTCCGTTACCCTACCCTTTTTCCTCCCTCCCTCCCTTTCCCACCACCAGCTCGACACCCTACTGCAGCTCAAGGCAGCCAGCGGCCCCCACCGCCCCACAGCAGTCCTCATATTCCCCGAGGGCACGCGCTCCTTGACTGGATCCCTGCAGCCCTTCAAGTCAGGCGTGGGGCTGCTGGCAGAGCAGCTGGACGTGCCCGTGGTGCCTGTGTGCGTCAAGGTGAGCACTATTGTCCGAATGAGTGAGACATTACCCTTCAAGTCAGGCGTGGGGCTGCTGGCAGAGCAGCTGGACGTGCCCGTGGTGCCCGTGTGCGTCAAGGTGAGCACTATTGTCCGAATGAGTGAGACATTACCCTTCAAGTCAGGCGTGGGGCTGCTGGCAGAGCAGCTGGACGTGGCCGTTGTTCCTGTGTGTGTCAAGGTGAGCCCAGCCCTGTGTGTTGAGTATGAGTGTGAGTGAGTGCGGCACGTGTCGTTTGAAGTGAGGCTCTTCAAGTCAGGCGTGGGCCTGCTGGCAGAGCAGCTGGACGTGCCCGTGGTGCCTGTGTGTGTCAAGGTGAGCCCAGCCCTGTGTGTTGAGTATGAGTGTGAGTGAGTGCGGCACGTGTCGTTTGAAGTGAGGCTCTTCAAGTCAGGCGTGGGCCTGCTGGCAGAGCAGCTGGACGTGCCCGTGGTTCCTGTGTGTGTCAAGGTGCGCGCTGTCGTCTGTGCGTGAGCGAGTCAACGAGTGAGTGAGTGAGTGAGAGAGCGAGCGAGTTAGCAAGCGAGCCATTTATTCAAGAGACACGGCCAAAGAGTCGAACCATCCCCCTACAGAGAAAGGTCACTTTTGGGCCGCCTCTGGACATTCATGCGTATCCTCCAACTCCTTTGCTCCTCTTCTTTTATCCATACTGCGCCCTACTGTCGTCCACCCACCCACCCAGGGCACCTTTGAAGCTCTACCGAAGGGTCGCACCATTCCCCTGCGTAGGCGGGTGACTGTGGAGTTCGGGCGGCCTCTGGACGTTCAGGAGTATCTTCAGGTGGCCCAGGTGGCGCCACCAGATGCTGCTGTCGTCTCTCCCCCAGCAAGCACTCAGGTGGCTATTTGTTCTTAGGGAACAATAGGTCATAAGGTGCATCTTCAGGTGTATCTTTATTTTCAACTCCGCAACATCAACAGGTGCGTTATCAGGTGGATGATCAGGTGCATCTTCAGTTGCCTCATCAGGTGGATTATCAGGTGCATCACTTGGGGCGCCTGAACCAGCTGTGTACCTCGTTTTTCCAGCTTCCTTAGCTTCCCCCTGCCAGGGCGATGCCTGCTGTTCAGGGCACATCCGCATCAAAGGACCCACAGCAGGCCTTTGAGGCCTTTTTAAACGTTCTGTACAGTATGTTTTGCCGGCCACCCTTCTCTCTCCTCTGTACCCCATCTCCTGCCAGGGCGATGCCTGCCGTTCAGAGCACGTCAGCATCAAAGGACCCACAGCATGCCTTTGAGGCGTTTTTGGACCACGCTGTATGTTTTGCTGCCCTCCCTTCTCTCTCCCCTGTGGCCCATCCCCTGCCATGGGGATGCCGTTCAGAGCACATCAGCACCAGGCCCATCAGCATCTGAAGATACCGAACGGGCCATGAGACGAGCAGCACACAGGCGATTCGCGGACGCCCTTCAGTGCAGTGTGGCAGATATGGCTGCGCGGAGCAAGGGCAGGGGCGCACAGGGAGAGACAGGGACACAGAGTAAGGGCAGGAACACGCAGGGAGAGGCAGAGACAGAGAGTAAGAGACAGCTCGAAGGCCAGGGGAAATGGGCAACGGAAGGAGCGAGGGAAAGGCGTTGGGTGGTCTTAATTACGTGCACAGCTGCAGCTGCTGTTGCTGCTGCCAGCTTTGGCGGTGTTTCTCCTGAGGGCATCTCTCAGGCAAGCTATGCTGCAGCGGCATCGTTGCTAGCCTGTGTGCCTAATCAACCAGGGGAAACGGTGGGGCTTGTTGCTGCTCTTGCCCTCTGCTGTACCTTGCTGATTGTTGGATTCAGGCCCATTGCCGCCTGGGCAGGGCCGTATCTGTTCTTCCCCTTGCATGATCAGGAAGAGATGCAGTAGGTTGGCGTGATTTTTTATCAGGAAGCAGATCTGATACTTTCAGGTGCAGCAATATGTATCAAGAGATTGGATTGGATGATTGGACTGTGGCAAGGCAACTGCAGGGCTGACTTCCATGTTCAGAAGTGGCACTCGTGTGCAGCAGCATGTGTGACACTGACTCTGAGTATGGGTATGGTTACATGGTAGTGCACCCCTGTGTGACAGATGCAAATAATTCAAGTGATAATGCTCCTAAACTTACATTTCGCTTAATCAGTAAAAAAACACAAATTGGAAAGGGTCCTAAAACAACTCAAGATGCAATCCAAGAAAACAAGGAATAAAGAATGGAACAAGTTCCACACTAGCAACGGATGAATCAATAGGCCAGCAGCATTGGAATGTTACTGCTGGCGTGCGATATTAGAGCAGATAGAAAGCAGGTAGGCTCCCGAGCCTGCACGAAAAGGGACAAGCTGTATCGAGAACATAACAGTCAGACGATTATGGATCATTACACCCCTTACCACCCACCCCACTGTCCGATGCCTTGCTATACCTGCATCTCAAAATCAGGACTCCCAGCCAAAACACCCTTACCAAGGCAAGGCCCATCCAACCTGCCCCCTGCCAACCAATGCGAATCAATGCCATGCCAACCAATGCCAACCAATGCGAATCCATCTCAATAATCAGCAGCAGCAGCCCAATCACTCACAAGAATCCCCACCCACTTCACATCTGTCGTCTGGATCTCCTCCTTCTCTGTTTCTAGATCTCTCAAAACCCAGCAGCACCAGTGCCACACCTGACTGAATACCCTTACCCCCCTGAATTGAGACCTTCCTGAATTGAGACCTCCCTGGATTGAGACATCTCAAAACCCAGCACCACTCCCCGCATCCCGAACCAGACTCCCCACCCACCCCACATCCGTCTCCTGTACCTCCTCCCTCCCTGTCCCCGATATAAGCTGACCCCCTGCTCCTTTAGAAAGACTAGTTCCTTGATGGGAGGGCAATTCTCCCTGGGGTGGCAGCATGCGGGGTTCATAGGTGGGCACAGAGTGGACTGACTGCCACGTGGGTAGACCAGAGGGTGACGCCCACATGGAGTGGTTGGGGGGTGTGCTAGCAGGAGCACTGGAGAGGGGATTATCTGACTGAGAGTGCTGCTGATAGTGGGGCTGCTGCTGCTGCTGGTTTTGTTGCTGCTGTTGCGGCTGCTGGTACTGGGATGGCTGCTGCTGTTGCTGCTGCTGGCGAAGGTTATTGGTCATACGAAACTGCGACGCCACGGCCTGTGATGGGGACATGGGTGTGAATCCACGGCCCTCCAAATGCCCTAAATAAGAGGATTCGAGACCTGGCTGGGGTTGCGGAGAGGACGAGAGCGCATATGCCCGTTCGCTTTCATTCCTGAACTGTTGCTGCTGCTGCTGCTGCTGCTGCTGCTGCTGCTGCTGCTGCTGCTGCTGCTGCTGCTGCTGCTGCTGCTGTTGCTTCTGTTGCTGTTGCTGTTGCTGCTGCTGCTGTTGTTGTTGCTGCTGCTGCTGCTGTTGCTGCAGCTGCCTAATCATCTGCTCTGCCTGCCCTACCGACCCGCCTCGGAACATGCCAGAAGGCCCGGCAGCACCATACCTAGGAGACTGGCTCGGAGAGGGTAGAGCACCAAACATCCCCCCATCTGCACCCCCCATGCCACCATCACTACCAACACCCCCATAGCTCCTAGGCGCAGCATCACTACCAGCACCCGCATAAGTTCTTGGGGCAGAGAGCGAAGGGCTTGAGGAGCCGCTTACAGGCCCAAGACGCGAGCCTTCCCCTGATAATGTCATGCCTAATCGTCCAGGACTGGACGGAACACTGTTCCCGCCCATTTGCCCCCCTGCACTTACACTTGCTATGCCCATGCCGCCACCCCCTATTCCCATGCCCGTGCTCCCCATTCCCATTCCGCCGCTCCCCATACCCATTCCGCCGCTCCCCATACCCATTCCGCCGCTCCCCATACCCATTCCGCCGCTCCCCATACCCGCAACTCCCCCGCCCACGCTGCCCATATCCCCACTGAGAACGTCCGGGCGTAAGGGGCTGTAAAGCTGCTGCGCGCCCCTACTAAGGCCGGGGGAGGGCGCGTCTTGAAGCTGATAACTCACGCCCGGGCTCCTCCCCGGGTTTCGGCCGAGGGACAAGTCGTTTCCGAGCGAGTTCTGAGTCGGCTCATAACGGGACGGCGCGTCCTGGAGCTGGTGGAAAGGCACGCCCGGGGATCTACCCTGGCGGGTGAGGGAGAGGTCGCCCAAATCCGCGGTGACTCGCGCTGCGCCGAGGTCGGCACGTGTGATGGATTCCAGGTGGTCCTGGAGGATGTGCTGCGGTGGGGAGTGGTGCTGCAGCTGCTGGTGTTGCTGCAGCTGCTGGTGTTGCTGCAGCTGCTGGTTCCAGTATCTTGGCTGCTCCTGCTGCCAGCGCTGTTGTTGCTGTTGCTGCTGCTGCTGCTGTTGCTGTTGCTGCCGTTGCTGCAGCGTTGGTCGAGAAAGTGGCGAGTTCTGCTGCTGCAGCTGCCCTTGCTGTTGTAGTTGTTGTTGTTGCTGTTGCTGTTGCTGTTGCTGTTGTTGTTGTTGCTGTTGTTGCTGCTGCTGCTCCTGCAGCAAGGAAGCTTCCAGCGCCTCTAGCGCCTCTTCAGTCTCCTCCGGAATGGTCAGCTCGCGCGCATTCAGGGCCGCGCGGAGGCGCATCAGGTTTACCCCCGACGACAGGCTCAGCGGCGCAGTTCCCCCGTGTCCACCCCCGCCCGCGGACTGACCTCCCCCGGGCATGCACTTCCCGGACGCGGAAAACGTGGCAATGGATGGGGAGATGGGGGCAGTGGGGGAAGAGCTGGTTGCGCTATGCGGCGCAAACTGCGACATCATGCGGACGGAAGAGGGGGAAGGTGGGGGGAGGTCGGCGGAGGCGGTGACTGCGCGCATGTCCGCGGGGGAGTGCGCAAACATGCTGGCGGGGGTGCCCGCGGCGGGGCTCTGCAGCGGGCGGAGCTCCTCGGACGTGTGCGCGAAGAAGCAGACGCGGCGGGAGCAGCTGGTGCCGTCCTTGCAAAGCCTGGCGCGGGGAAGAAAGGAAGAGAGAGATTTGGCAGAGGAGACCTAAGTTGAAACATTCGCAGCAAGGCTCTGGGAGAGAATGGGGGGAGAGCGTCATGAGATAAGGCGAAATACGGGGCGAACGAAGGGCGTGACGAGCGGCGCAAGGACCGCAACGGAAGAGACGAAGGAAGGAAAGAGAAGACGGTTCAGGTAGGTTACAGCGTGTTGTGCAAGGACAGCACACCGAGCGACGGCAACGGAGCAGCACGGGAGCAGGGAGGAGCAGGAAGACAGCGAGAGTATACGGCCCCGGCGTTCTCGCTAACTCTTCAAAGGAAAATGCCAGAGGAAGGAGGCAACTAAACATCAAGGAGCCTCTAATGTAGTGTTACTTGGCTGGGAAATATTGACTCGCTTGATGCATTTACATAGGCGGGAAGCCGTACCTGGTTCGGTACTGCGCGGGGTGCAACCAGCACTCGAACACGCCGTGCGCGTACTCGCACGAGTCCCCCCTCCTGCACGACCCCTTGCGGAAATCTGGGCACGGCACGCAGCTGTAATGAAACTTGCGCGGATCGCGCCGGCGGGCGTTCTCCCCCGGATGCACGAACGGGCACTCCGTCCAGTCGTGGCTGTACGCGCGCGAGCACGGCCGCACCTTGAAGCTGTAGATCCGAAACTCGTCCGAAGCGTACACGCTGCTCTTCATATCCGCCATGGATGACTCGACTACACCCGCGCCAGTTGATGGAGTGGTGGGAGCAAGCACGTCGAGTCCAGTGGAGTTAGAAGAGAGGTCACTGCTGCTCGAGGTTGCGGGAGAGAGCATGTTGGGCGACGCGGAGTGGGAGTTTGGCGATGACGGAGATTCGAACGGCGGAGACGTGGACGCCGCTGATTGGACGATGATGAACGGAGACGGACGGTGGTAGATCGGGTCGGGACCGGCGGACGAGGAGGATTTGAGAAGGCGCTCCAGGGCGGATTTGACGTGAGGAAGCTTCGGGGAGACTGCAATGACGTCGACTGGACGTTTTCCGTCACGGTCGACGGCATCTTTTTCGGCTCCGTGACGGAGAAGAAATGAAACCACCTCTACAGCTCGCGGGCTCCCACCCAACGCTGCACAATGAAGCGCTGTGCTGCCATCAGAAGGACTTGCCTGGTTAATGTTGCACTCTACACCGCGACTACGTGCTTCAATAAAAATATATGATAAAATATCTAGGCTGCCGAATAGGCAAGCAATCATGGCTGGAGTTCGCTGTGCAAGAGCCATTCTGGTGGAGCCATTCTGACGACAGTACCATGCCTCGCATTCAGTCAATGGCTTCCGTAAAATGTCGACGCTTCGTCTGAAACTATCTATGTCATTACTCGCAGCTAACTCCAGCAAGCTTAAATCCTCGTCTTCGTAAATAGTAGGAGTAGATCCCGAGTCACTTGCGTGAAAATTCATTGTTGAATAAGTGAATGACGAGGCGTCGATAGGAAAGCCACAGCACATGGCTGAAACCCTAAAAGAGCGGCTAAGGATAACCCATGCTTGCGAACCTCGAAGCCTACCTGTGCTGCAAGATAAGAAATGCGACGCGCTAACCAAGGAATAACGAGATGCAAAAAAATAAATGGTGAAATGACCGGAACTGGCAAGAAATGGATTGATTACGCCTAGAGGCTGACTTTATAGTATCGGTGAGAGTGGAGAGCTCAGCGTCGGGAAAGCAAGGCCTGTGGGGGAGGTTCCTCCCCTCCCCTCCCTCAGTGTGACTTCCACAACCTAGGTCCTGTATCATCGAGCAGCAGACTACCATGTACATAAGTGATGCATACACTGTACCGAGACAGATCCTTCAATACCAAGAGACAACCCTGAATAACGAGGGTTGTGTACTTACGGAACCGAACATCGAAGTGAGGAAGACCTCAAGGATGCCGTCGGATGTCTCGAGGCATGAACAATGCCGAGGTGTCGTGCGTGGGCGGGTAGCCATACAACCCCCTGGCGAAGCCGAACTTCTCCAGCCACAGAACTACAGTATTCTGTAACCAGATGCCCCAGAACCATTGATGGCCAACAAAGCAGGACGGCGACAACGGGCAGCCAGCCTGGAGACGAAGATCACTGATGGAGGGCCTAGGTCCAGCTGGACTTACGAATAGTGATTGGTCGAATTTTGGAGTGATGGGATCGAAAGCTGGGAACAAGCGAGATTAACTCAATCCGCCCAGATTCAGGAGAATCGACGGTGCTGCGCAGACACGGCAGACAGATTCAGCACTGGGGAAAACATCAGCCAAGTTGCCCCAGCTGAGACAGCGATGGATCACCATTAAGAAATGGTTCGTTAACAATACCAACACGGCTTTCAAGTCCCAGCTGTTGCATCCAAACAGCTAATATTTTCTTTACTTCATACCTTACAGCTTGACAACAACTTCATCAGAGAAGTTGGGAAGCCCAGGATATAGAATCGAGAAACGACATGAAAAAAAAAAATGTTTTACACATATCCCCTATACAAGAAAGTCATAATGGGCCTTTGTCACCACCTACCTTAACTTCTGTCCCGCCCCTCCCTCACATCAACTCGCTCTCTCCTCCGTTCATGCTCCTCCCTGCCCCTGCGCCCTCGACCAGAATCCCTGTCACCCTCTCGCCCTTTATCTCCTTCCTCTACTCTCCAGCCCCTCCCCTCTCTTCTTTCCCCACGATGCTCCCTCTTCCCTTCCACTCCCCACTTTTCCTCTTTTCTCGACCAACCCTCTTCTCTCTTCTTTTCCCCTCTCCCTTCTTTCCTGCTCCTCTCTTTCCCATCCTTCCCCATCCGTTCCAACATCCTTTCCCTGTAACCATCCATCCCTTCTCTTCCTCCTCGCTCCTCCCCAACCTCATCTTCCCACCTCGTTCCACCACCCTCAGCAATTCCATCAGCACGCCCCTTAACCTCCTTCCCTTCTGTCCCGCGCCTGCTCATCCTTGCTCCTCTTCCCTCTCCACCCTGATCATCCCACCTCGTTCCACCACTCTCACCACCATTTCCACCAGCACGCCCCTTCACCTCCTTCCCCTCTAACCTGCGCCTGCTTCCTCGTTCCCCCTTCTCCTCTCCATCCTCGTCCTCTATCCTCGAACTATGACGCTCACCAGCATCAGCAGTAGCACCCGTCTGGATCTCCCTTCTCTCTATCTTGATCTCTACCCTGCTCTCTACCCTACTCTTGCTTGTTTCTTCCTTCTTCTCCTCCCTAGGCCCTGGACCTCCCTCCTCACGTCTCCTCTGCTTCTCCTTCTCCCTCCCCTTCCTCTCATGCGACCTCTTTCTCTTCGATCCTCGTCTCCGCTTTCTCTTACTCCTGTCGCTGCAGCTGCTGTCACTCCCACTGCTCTCACTCCTACTGCTGTCACTAGAGCTAGCAGTCTGCTCATCCCCTGAGCTCGATTCAGAATCTGATTCCGATTCTGAAGAATCCGATCCTGTATCAGACGATGAATCAGAATCTGATTTTCTGCGATGGTGACGGCTCCTCCGCCCCCCACGTCCCTTCTTCTTCTCCTTCTTCCTCCTCTTCTCCCGCCCGCTCTTACTCTTACCCTCCCCCCCACCTCTCCTCTCCTTCTTCTTCCTCCGTTTCCTCCGCTCCTCCTTTTCCTTCATCCTTAAAGCCCTGCTCAACTCCTTGCGCTGCTGCTTCGTCAGCGAGTCTAACACAGAAGAGCCAAGACCAGGCATAAGCACCCCTCCCCCTCCAATACCTCCAACCCCTCCTGCAGCCAATGCTGCTACATCCGCCTCTCCTCCAAGGAGGAACCCCCCATACTGGTCGAACACGCCCTCGTTCTCGTCGTCGCTGGGCGGCAGGATCTGCTGGTTGGCATCGTTTGGCTTGAAGCCGCCCCGGACGGGGCTCATGCCACCGGCCCCTTGCTCCTTCAGCTGCCATCCAAACGGCTGAGGAGAGACGGCAAGAAAGGGGCCAAGACAAGGAGCTTGAAGGGAATGTTTTGGAAAGGATGCATGTGTAATCACTTGCCATTAAGCCGCTTCTATAAGAGCTCATCCCGTCCGCCCCTTGCTCCTTCAGCTGCCACCCAAACGGCTGAGGGGAGTCAGCAAGAAATGGGCCAAGAAAGGAAGGGATGAGGGGGAAATTGTTTGGGGAAAGGTGCATGGTGTGCGGGCTTGACTTGACCCGGACAGGGCTCATCCCGCCCGCCCCTTCCTCCTTCAGCTTCCACCCAAACGGCTGTGAAAAACAGGAAAGAAGCCAAGTGGGGAAGGGGGGGAGAGGAGAGCTTGAGAAAAAAAGGTTTCAGATGGATGGGGAGAATGGAGGTAAAAAGGGCAGCACAGAACGTACCTGGGGGCGACTGAGGACGAGGATGTGGAAAAGGGGGTCACATCCGTTGGTAGTAAGGCAGTAAAGCACCCAACAATGGGGGAAAGAAGGGGCGGTATCCAGCATAGCAGCAACGGGCATACCAAGAAGAGGAGCCTGGCAGGGGGCATACCTGGGGGCGGTTGAGGGCGAGGATGTGAGAGAGCGGGTCCTCCCGCTGCTGCCGCTTGAGGTCGTTTTCAGTCACGGAGTCAAACAGAGGGCACTCCCTTTCGCCACTGCTGTGCCCTATCCCCCCACACCGCCCGCACTTGACATTCCTCAACTCGAGCCCAAAGGGGCGCGGCCGGCCTATGATTCCTGTGTCCAACCTGGTGAGTGTGGGAGTGGAAGGGAGAGGGGGGGCGAACATGTGATGACACACTTCCTACACCTCCCCCCACACCGTCCACACTTGACTTTCCTCAGCTCGAGCCGGAATGGGCGCGGTGGGCCAATGATGCCAGTGACCATCCTGAGAAGTGTGGGAGTGGAAGGGAGAGGGGGGCGAACATCTGATGACACACCTCCCACACACACACACCCCCCGCACTGCCCGCACTTGACGTTCCTCAGCTCGAGCCCGAACGGGCGTAACCGACCAATGATGCCTGTGTCCATCCTGAGAGTAACAAGGAAAGGGAAATGGAGCGGCGGGCCAAGAGAATACATATGAAGCACCTGAAAATGTTTAGCTCACACACGATTCGTTATATATATGATAACTTTTACAGCGCCTAAAACAGCTCTCCCTTTCACCTGGGCGCGTTCTTGAGCACTTCAAAGTCGTCTCCGGTGGGCACGGCTCGACCAAACACGTCCGTGGCTCGGGGCTTCTTCTTCTTCTTCTGCTCCTTGCCCCCGTCAGTATCAGGCGGCTCAGTGCTGCCAGAAAGGAAGGGGATGGAACAAGAAAATGAAGATGGGGTAAGACACAGACGTCCGTGGCTCGGGGCTTCTTCTTCTTCTCGCCCCCGTCGATATCAGCCGGCTCAGTGCTGCCGAGAATGGGATGGTACAGGGGGATGCGTGGTCAGACATCCTGAAGGGGTCAGACATCCTGAAGGGGTCAGACATCCTGAAGGGGTCAGACATCCTGAAGGGGTCAGACATCCTGAAGGGGTCAGACATCCTGAAGGGGTCAGACATCCTGAAGGGGTCAGACACTGAATTTGAGTCGACTCAAAAACATCCATGGCTCTCGGCTTCAATATAGGTAATACGTAAATCGTTGAACACTGAATTTGAGTCGACTCAAAAACATCCATGGCTCTCGGCTTCAATATAGGTAATACGTAAATCGTCGAACACTGAATTTGAGTCGACTCAAAAACATCCATGGCTCTCGGCTTCAATATAGGTAATACGTAAATCGTCGAACACTGAATTTGAGTCGACTCAAAAACATCCATGGCTCTTGGCTTCAATATAGGTAATACGTAAATCGTCGAACACTGAATTTGAGTCGACTCAAAAACATCCATGGCTCTCGGCTTCAATATAGGTAATACGTAAATCGTTGAACACTGAATTTGAGTCGACTCAAAAACATCCATGGCTCTCGGCTTCAATATAGGTAATACGTAAATCGTCGAACACTGAATTTGAGTCGACTCAAAAACATCCATGGCTCTCGGCTTCAATATAGGTAATACGTAAATTGTCGAACACTGAATTTGAGTCGACTCAAAAACATCCATGGCTCTCGGCTTCAATATAGGTAATACGTAAATCGTCGAACACTGAATTTGAGTCGACTCAAAAGCATCCATGGCTCTCGGCTTCAATATAGGTAATACGTAAATCGTCGAACACTGAATTTGAGTCGACTCAAAAGCATCCATGGCTCTCGGCTTCAATATAGGTAAAATACGTAAATCGTCGAACACTGAATTTGAGTCGACTCAAAAACATCCATGGCTCTCGGCTTCAATATAGGTAATACGTAAATCGTCAAACACTGAATTTGAGTCGACTCAAAAATATCCATGGCTCTCGGCTTCAATATAGGTAATACGTAAATCGTCGAACACTGAATTTGAGTCGACTCAAAAACATCCATGGCTCTCGGGCTTCAATATAGGTAATACGTAAATCGTCGAACACTGAATTTGAGTCGACTCAAAAACATCCATGGCTCTCGGCTTCAATATAGGTAATACGTAAATCGTCAAACACTGAATTTGAGGAGACTCAAAAATATCCATGGCTCTCGGCTTCAATATAGGTAATACGTAAATCGTCGAACACTGAATTTGAGTCGACTCAAAAACATCCATGGCTCTCGGCTTCAATATAGGTAATACGTAAATCGTCGAACACTGAATTTGAGTCGACTCAAAAACATCCATGGCTCTCGGCTTCAATATAGGTAATACGTAAATCGTTGAACACTGAATTTGAGTCGACTCAAAAACATCCATGGCTCTCGGCTTCAATATAGGTAATACGTAAATTGTCAAACACTGAATTTGAGTCGACTCAAAAATATCCATGGCTCTCGGCTTCAATATAGGTAATACGTAAATCGTCGAACACTGAATTTGAGTCGACTCAAAAACATCCATGGCTCTCGGCTTCAATATAGGTAATACGTAAATCGTCGAACACTGAATTTGAGTCGACTCAAAAACATCCATGGCTCTCGGCTTCAATATAGGTAATACGTAAATCGTCAAACACTGAATTTGAGTCGACTCAAAAATATCCATGGCTCTCGGCTTCAATATAGGTACTACGTAAATCGTCGAACACTGAATTTGAGTCGACTCAAAAACATCCATGGCTCTCGGCTTCAATATAGGTAATACGTAAATCGTCGAACACTGAATTTGAGTCGACTCAAAAACATCCATGGCTCTCGGCTTCAATATAGGTAATACGTAAATCGTTGAACACTGAATTTGAGTCGACTCAAAAACATCCATGGCTCTCGGCTTCAATATAGGTAATACGTAAATCGTCGAACACTGAATTTGAGTCGACTCAAAAACATCCATGGCTCTCGGCTTCAATATAGGTAATACGTAAATCGTTGAACACTGAAACATGCTGCAAACTCTCATCAGGCTCAGGTGAGTTCTGAGCCTGTTCTGAGTTGAGAGGAAAAGAAAGAAAGGAATGAAAGAGCAGACTCACCCTGCCTCTGCCACCACCAACGCTCCATCCGCACCCATACCCGCAACCTCCCCTCCTCCCCCCTCTCCTTCCCCACCTTCCCCTCCGCCTCCTTCCCCTCCTCCTCCCCCTTCCAGCTGCATCTTCCCCTCCCTCTCCTGCTTCGCCCTCTCCTCCTCTGCAAGCTCTGCCGCCCGCGCGCTCTCAGCGTTGTACCCGGGAGGCTTCATGTAGAGGAACGACACAGACTGCATCGCCTCTGCTTTGGCCTTTTGTTGCTTTGAGAGCAGCGCCGTTTGTTTGAAATACTCCTGCTCCTTCTGGAACTGCAATCGGGAGTCAAGGAACAGGGAGAGAAAGGGAAGGGAATGGGAGGCACGGAAAACCGGAAGTGAAGGGAAACAGGGAGGCAAGGGAAAGGGAGCAAGAGTGGATGAGGCAAACCTGGGACACAGAAAGGCAAGGGAAGCAGGGAGGCAAGGGAAGCAGGGAGGCAAGGCAGTCCCGGCTCTTGGCTCTCGGCGTTGTACCCAAGAGCCTTCAAGTAGAGGAACGACACGGAATGCATCGCCTGTGCCTTTCAGAGACGTGGGAAAAGGAGACAAGGAAACAGCAGACGGCAGTAGACGGTGTGCAAGTTGGGATGCCTAAAAAGACAATGCCTACCCAGTGTTTGGAACACGGCGCGGTGTCTACCCGCATCAACCCGAGTATCAAGGCGTCTCATAACGCGTACACCTTTCTGTAGATAACCTCTTTCTCGATTTCGATCAATCGCTTGTCGTCAGCGATCCATGAGCAAATGCACCAGTAACGTAACATCTCATAACGCGTACCTCTTTTTCTATTTCGGTCAGTCGCTTGTCCTGCACGCCGTGCATCTGCTCCGCAATCCACTTGCGACGCTGGTTGGGATACGACATCGGATGCCATGGCTTCTGATTCAAGTAGTTATGGCTCCACGCAGATCCCGCCTTTTCCTTGTAATCAAACTCCTCAAATAACTTCTGGTGCAGCTCACGCTTAGACATGGTGACCCCCGGAACGATTCGCACCGAGTCGCACCAAGTCGCACCGATTCGCACTGAGTATCACCAATTCAGGCCAGACTCAGCTCCACTACAAGGGACTAAGACGGGTCGGCTGAGACCCATACATACTATCGCGCTCCACCAGCTACGAAAATGGATGCTACACGAGTATGATTCACCCTGAGGGCCTGGGAAGTCCCAAGGAAATGAAATATATCGAAGGAAGCTGATTTGTCTGTGTGAGATAGTTAATAATCACGTTTGGTTCGGAGAGACGCGGGAAGGTGAAGGGCTAGGGATTGAGGAGCGGTAATCGCTGTGAAGTGGAATGGAGTCTTGCAATGATCTGCTCTGAAGGGTTTCGGTAACTACGATTGTTGAATCGTATGGTATACACCAGATCATCTTTAAGTTGTACACCGAGCAGAACAAGCATACATGATCAATAACAGTCGTGACCGTAGAATACGATATACGGGATTGGGTGACTCCGGCACACAAGCGCCTGCTTCCATACGTATAAATACTTTTGACGAAGAAAAGAAAAGAAAAGAGAAAGGGAGAAGGAAAGTGAAACCGCCAAGAAGAACCCAAATGCAACACACATAAAACCCCCCCTCAAGATACCCAATCAAAACGCCCAGTCAAGACACCCTGTCAAGACATCCCATCCCACACCCCATTTCCCCCCCCCCCCCAATCACAACAGCGAATCCACCATGTACGGGGCCTCCACCCAGAGAGCCCCGCCTTCCGCATCGCCATCGTCCCACTCCCGGTCCACCAAGTCAACGTTAATCAGGGCCTCAGATTCGTTTTTTCGTAGGCTGACGGGTCAACCTTGGGCATGTGTGCATGGCTGATCTGTCAGTGGTTGTGGTTAAAAAAAACCTGATTTTTCAGGCTGTCCTAGCGGAAAAAAGCTGATCGATCAGTGTCATCCCGTACTCAAGTCTGAACAACTCACAGCAAGCAAGCACGAAAATCAATCAACAAATTTTGTTTTCATATAGCAAACGTCTACATATCATCATCATCCTCATCATCCTCTTCATCCTCACTATCACTAGAGCCTACAGCTTCTGCAGCATGTGGTTCATCTACTTCCATAGGTGCCGCTCTCCCCTTCTTGCAAGTTTCACCTGGGGTGGTAATAGGGGCATTACAAAATGGCTTCCGCTTCTTGTAGCTTCTCCAGATCTCGACCACCTCGTCGTACCGTGGCTCGTACGGCATCAGGGACATGCACATCAAGTCGCCCAGCCTTGCATCTTTGAGGCTGCTCCTCTGCCAGGTCTTGATCACGTTCTGGCGCGAGAAACCCCTTTCGCACTCCACAGTGCTAAGGGGAATCACCGCCACGGCTACCCACAACTGCACGAGGTTGGGGTAGCTCTCCTGCCAGTCAGGAGTCTTCAACATCGCGGTGAGGCCATCGTGGAAAGACCTCTCCCCCTTCGTTGCAGAGGCACGGACGGAGCAGAACAGTCGCAGCTCCTTGTGGGCCTGCCGCTTCTTGATTCCTGCCAGTGCAACAAAACAAGGCAAGTGGTGGAAAGAATTCAAGACGGGGATTAGAGCTGACTTAACAAACAGGAAGGACGTCTACAAGCAGCAAAGAGAAACAGTACAACGGCTTTGAGTCATTATAAAAAAAAATAACTCCACCTGGCAGAATGTCCTCTGCCGCTTCGGCCTTGAACAGCTTCACCAGCGAATGCAACCACTCAACGCATCGTGCGTGACGCTCCAACTTGCTCTTCGGCCACTCATCCGGCAGGAACAGTCGCACACCCGACAAAGAGTCCAAATCACTCAGCCGACTCTCCAGGTTCGCCACGATGAGTTCGGCGAAGGCGGTGCAGGCCTCAACACAGGCGTCGTGATCACAGGGGCCTTCGTACCCTTTGACCACGACTTCATGGAGCGTAAACTCGAATGTTGTCGGCCGCCCATCGGAATCGGGCCCCTCCACAGTCACTTCGCGCTCCTTTCCGGGCCCGTGACGCTCGATGAAGGGCGACAACCAGCGGCTGAAGCCTCCGCCGAAATCGTCCCCACAGTCCACATATCGGCTCTCGATATGTGTCGTCGTGCGCTTGATCTGTCCGTGCAACGAGACAAGGTCCAGCTGCATGCATTGATAAAGAAAGGAGGAATGTCAGCCGCGAGTGGCAACAATGAATAACATGCGGAAGCATAGAAATACACACATCAACATTTACCTGGCGCTGCTGGAATGTCCTGTTCAGGATGTTCAACTGCTCAAGCACATCAGCAAGAAAGTACATGAAGAAGTGGAAACGGTAGGAAGTGGCGAGCTGAAACATGGCGGAATGAAACTCCTTCAGGAACACAATGACAGCAGGCCACACAGCCAGGATGCGAAGCAACGCATCCCCCCGAGAGAGCCACCGGACGTGATGAATTCCCTGCACTTCCAGGCTTGTCTCGGTGAAGAGCTCCTGGATGTCCATGAAGCGCTGGTGTTTTGGCCCGGAACGCCCCAGCAGGTCCGACACCACGCGGATTAGGTCGTCGACCATGTTGAAGACGGGTAGCTCTTCGGCCGCATCCTTAGCGGCTAGGGCTTCCCTGCAATAAACGTAATAAGAGGAATAAGGCCACCGCAATTAAACAGAAACGAATTAACTATGTCATTTCAACACGGCACTAACCTGTGGGCGATGCAGTGACACGAGACGAGGTGTGGAATCCGCTCTCGCAGGCGAACCACCAGTCCGGCATTACTTCCCATCATCACCGACGCACCGTCGGTGCTGATGCCCGAAATTCTCTACAAGTCAACACCGACGGCCTGCAGGTGGGACAGCAGAAGGCTCAAGAGGTTCACGGCGTCAGCTTTCTCAACGGTTATCAACTGCATGAACTCAGTAACCACGGCAGAATCCCGAACGAAAGTCGCGTATAGTATAAGATGCTTTCCTCGGACGCGGTCCGTGCTTTCGTCGATGGCAATGCCGATGAAGGGGCTTGTGAGGACATGCTCCAGCTGGGTCGTCTGTAGCCAGGTTGCCATTGACTGCGTCAATTCGCCGTAGCCGTACCTGCCAGTATTCAAGGCAAACATCATTAGAAGCTAGTAAAACAAGTAAAACAGCAACGGGTTATGTTTACTCACGTGGTATAGTACGTGCCATAGCCCTTCTTAGGGAACCCTTGCACCCCTTTGCGGGCAAGATACTGCACCAGCTTCACCCATGTCCCCATGGGTGCGTCGCAGTCGCTGACGAACAGGAGCGCATCAAGCAGTGACGTGACCCGGATCTTCTCTGCATCGATCGCTGCACGATGCTCGTCGATGCGGGGCTGTTTAGACGCGGCAGCAAGCAGGGCCTCTTGCTTCTCCAGTGCCAGCTTGTGTTTTCTCGTCCCGGCGTGCTTGCGAAAAGCCTGCGTCTGGACGTCGGTAGCACCCTTTCCTGTCCTGCCACAACGTCCCCTGACACCGGCGTGCTTTGTGCAGAGACTGCATTTGAAAGCAGGAAGACCACGAACAGTTTTTGTAAGTACAAGCCAAGGGAAACGCTCATGCCACTTAGTTTTGTACTTATCCAAGGCCTCGGCGTAAATCGCATCAATAACATCCTGAACGTTGATTTCCAGAGACGGGCGCACGGTGGTTTCGTTCACAACGGCTTCCGAGACTGGGACGCTCGACGATGGCTTCCAGAAATTCAGCTTCTGTTGCTTGAGCTTGCTTGTGCGCGGTGCTGACGATTTCGACGCCGACGTGCCGATGTCAACGGCACCAGAAACACCAGGAGGCTCGGGAGGGACGGACCGGATAGAATCCGGGCTGCACGGCACGTTCGGGTTGTCCGCCACTATAGGAACCGGACCGTGTGCAGTTGGCGCTGGAGGTGGTAGTTGGCGGCCTAAAGATCGTAGCAGTAGATCTAGGCCAGTACGGGCTTCTTCGATGGCGACGCTGTCGGCGTCGTCTGAGTCGGCGTCACCCTCGTCGTCTGAAAGGGCGGCGCCATGGCCAGCCATGGCGGAACAGACACGAGAGCGAGCTGAGCACGGAGAGAGCGTGCCGAGCACTGAGAGCGCTGGGCGAGAACAATCTGGTGCTAGAGGCGAAAGACCTGAAACCCTAGCGTGAATGGGTGAGGGACAGGGGTCTCCAGGAGCTACCTGGGGGTATGCAAGATTGAGCTAGAGATGGTGAAACGGGATTGGTTGGCAATCCTACCTGCAAGGCGGCTCGACCCATGGAATCATGCACGTACCTGGCTGCAGCCCCGGGGTTGGTGAGGTGGGGGGGTTTCCTAGACGCGCGGCAACCATTTTGTGGTGCTGTACTGCTGTAACGTGCGTGCGTGGTGCTGCACTGCTTTGTGTTCATTCGCCACTAATTGATGTGGTTGCACTAACATCCAATCACGTGCGAAGTTATCTCCGCGACTTGACAGCAGTAGTGTGAAAGTGCGGGAATGAATGATGTCATTCCCGAAGGAATCTTGCCAACGCGGCGTGATTTACGGAGGAACGTTCGAACAGCTGTATCTAGACATCCGGTATTCGGGGCCTATACCCGAATCTCCATTACAAGGATTTCAGCCCAGCTCTTCGATACAAGTCTGATGAGACAGCGCACACGCCTCCAAAAAAGCTGATATTTCAGCACAGACTGGTTAAAAAAAACTGAAATTACAGCATACACACCAAAAAAAAAGCTGCCACAGCAGCCCAACGTCTCCCCGACCGGCTGAAATCACAGGCTTTTTACCCCTAATCAGCCTTTTTTCGCTGACTTCTGAGGGCCTGACGTTAATCCCCCCCATAGAAGACGCCGCTCGAAGCAGGATGACACGGGCTTGCGCACGTTGCAACGCCACCCCGATGAGCGCCTTCAGTGACCCTAGAAGATAAGCCGAAAACACTGTGTCGTCCTCCCGACAAGCCCCCCGCGACACAGCTAGCCCCACGTGCGCATCTCCCTGCTGACGAAGCCACCTCCGAAAGCGACCGCCGAGACACCCCCACGTCTCCACTATCAGAGGAGTGAACTGCACGCCCCGGTTGCGTGCAAGCAGAGGCGCGTAATCGCTCGTTTCATCTTTAAGTTAGTGAGGTTAGTTTAAGATTATGAATAAGGCCAAAGCTTCATCCATTTCCCAGCATTCCCTCCAGTGCGCCTTTACATGAAGATTACTTGTTCAGCTATGCTTTCTTTCGTACACGTTGTCAGCTACGGTTGTGACATCCACACATTGTCAGACTTCTGTATTTCTTGCTGTACGTTGAGCAGATGTGAGTGAGGGAAATGTCCATAGTTCAAGGACTGCCTGCCTGCCTGGGCATCCGCTGCATATACAGGAAAGAATATCAATGACAAGGCCTCTCTTGAGTCCACCAACAAACCATCCCCAAGTTAGCCAAGTTCACTGCGAATACAGTAGTTGTAAGAGAGTATTACTTTAGCTGGGCAAAGATTTTAGGAGCCGCCTGCACAAGTTGTCAGAATGCACAAAAAAAGGGTTCGATCAGGTAATAGCTTACTAGATAGCAGAACACAAGACAAATGACAAGCCCAACCACTTCCAAATCATTTGCAAGAAAACGAGAAACTCACGCATTTATCAATGCACGCCCAGTAGTCGAAGTACTGGCCAGTGCAATGCTTCTCCCCAGTCTCGTCGCCTTCGATCCTCTTCACACAAGCCTACGCAATGCAGATCAGAGACCAGAGGGAGCTCATAGCCACTAAGCCGACACGTTGGACAGATAAGGAAGGCTAGAAGTTGAAAGAAGCTGCGACATGCCTATGCGCCTGCGATCGTAGGTCAACCGCATGACGAACTACGCAGCTTCAGGTATACTGAAGAAGCGATGCTTTGCGGGAGAAGGAAAGTCTCACCTCGTACGCGAGTAGCTGCTTCACACACTTCGGCCGGCACCCCTCCTCAATCTCGGGCTTCGGATCCACAGGCTCGTCGTCAGCCCTACACGTGGCACACAAGATCGTCAGACACGATTCGAGCGAGAATCCGTTAAAGCACAACCTACTACATACGAAGGAGCGGAAAAATACTCTCCACGGATCACGCTACTCACATGGTGTCTGCCAAGTACAAACACGCGTCGCGCGGAAAGGTCCGAAGTGAGCTGACAGAACGAGGTGAAAGGCGGTGAAGTTGTTATGAGGCGAAGCGGAGAGACTGGTGCGATTGCTGATCTTTGGAACGGTGTCTGCAGAATGCTGGAGCAGAGGGAGGAGGATTCTCGGGGTGTGGGCGGAAGTTGTGCAAGAGTAGCAGGCGAAGCGAACGAAAGCCATACACAGATTGCGAGAGACACGAGAAGTAACAAATGTTGCGAGATAGTGTTCCAACCCTTCGCGAGCACCAGAAAGTTCGAGAACTTAGAGGATCACTAAAAAATAACGGAATATATACCAATCTACACTGCCATCAACTATATGTACCTACATTGGTCTGAAAGTATTTAACCACAACCGAGTCAAGCACCTGCCTCCCTCCCTGTCGTAGAACCACCTTCTGTGCGAGCCTGCCCACTTTGGTCCCCACCAGAAGACTGTTCAGACACATCCTCCTTGCCAGCACTGGCATCGAAGCTGCCACTGTTTTCAGTACTGGCACCACTGGTGGCACCTGTCTTGGCATCAGCGCTTGCGTTGGGAGATGTTGAATTGTCAGCAGTGGCGTTAGCAGAGGTCTGATTTGCTGATGTGGCATTGACAGGGGCGGCTGGCGTTGTCTTCCCTGCAAGCATCTGCGGTTTCCATTGTAAGACATCGTCAATGATGTTGGACACCTTCTTCTGGTACCTGCAACAGGAAAACATAACAAAACAGGAAACAGTGTAACAATTGGAGAAAGAAAATGGCAAGATACAGTAAGATTGAAACAAACACAAACCACACCCACAAAGCCCAAACCACTCAACGCACAGCACAGAGCATACATGACATTGTGTGATATCTGACAAGATATCTGTGTGAGTGACAACAGAGCACACGCAAAATGAAATCAAAGAAATAAAGGGGGAAGAAGAAGAAGAAAAAAACAGAGACAACAACACTCACTTGGCTCGTTGCTCTTGGTCAGGAGCGTAGGTGACCATGGGCCAGAAGGTGAACCCCAGCGTCACAGCAAAGCACAAACAGCAACAACAGTGCGAGGAAAAACAGTGCGAGAAACCCATTGTCTATACACATCGAAGGTGCTTACTTGGCTCGTTGCTCTTGATCGGGAGCATAGGTGACCATGAGCCAGAAGGTGAACCCCAGCATCACAGCCACCGCCAGCCGCGTGGTGATCTTTGCGGGCGGCTGGTCGTCCTTATCCGGCCAGAAGCGGAAAAGCTCTGCCAGCGAGCCCTCCTCTGCTAGGATGCTGGGGAAGAACCAGACGCGCTTGCCCACCGCCAGCCAGATGACTCCGAATACCGCCACCCGGACTGCAATGAGAGAGAAGGGGCAGGGTGGGAAGGGGGAGTACGTGAATGGGTGTACGTGAAGCGGGATGGTTCCATCAAACAGCCTTACTAGGATGCGGCGGAAGAACCACAGGCGCTTGTCCACAGCCAGCCAGATGACTCAAAACTCGGTTTTTTCACCGCCAGAATGTACCAGGCAGCCTGCTGTAAAAACCTCTTAAGGACAACCTAACCCCACGCCAAATGTCTCTTGCCAGAGAGCAGCAGGAAGATGAGAGCAATGAGGCCCAGGAGGAAATAGAGCACGGCGAGCTTGCACCAGTGAGGGAAGACGGGGAAGAGACAGTGAAGACCTCTAGGAGCATCAAACCGTACCTCATGCTAGGAGCCTCACTTACCAAATAGCAGCAGGAAGATGAGTGCAATGTGCCGCAGGAGGAAGTAGAAAACAGCGAGCTTGCACCAGTGGGGGAAGACGGGGAAGAGGCAGCAGGCGACAGTGAAGACTTCTAACCACATATAACCAGCGCTAAGTGTCTCACTAACCAAAGAGCAGCAGGAAGATGAGGGCGATTAGCCCCAGGAGGAAGTAGAGTACAGCGAGCTTGCACCAGTGGGGGAAGACGGGGAAGAGGCAGCAGGCGACAGTGAAGACTTCTAACCACTTATCACCACTGCTAAGTGTTTCACTTACCAAATAGCAGCAGGAAGATGAGGGCGATTAGCCCCAGGAGGAAGTTGAGTACAGCGAGCTTGCACCAGTGGAGGAAGACGGGGAAGAGGCAGCAGGCGACAGTGAAGACTTCTAACCACTTATAACCACCACTAAGTGTTTCACTTACCAAATAGCAGCAGGAAGATGAGGGCGATTAGCCCCAGGAGGAAGTAGAGTACAGCGAGCTTGCACCAGTGGGGGAAGACGGGGAAGAGGCAGCAGGCAACGGTGAAGACCGGGAGCAGGAAGGAGAGGATGGTCTGCCATATGGGCTGCTGGCGCTCGTACATCCAGGCATAGAAGCCATCGTCCACTGTGAACGCTTGGTCCTGGCAAGACGAGGACGGAGAGAGGCAGAGAGGAAGAATGAGCTGGGGAAAGACGAGCAGGAAGGAGAGGATGGTCTGCCATATGGGCTGCTGGCGCTCGTACATCCAGGCGTAGATGCCATCGCCCACCGTGAGTGAATGATTGATCCACACATTGGGAAGGGAGAGTGGGGAGATGGAGGGTGAGGAGGTGGGGAGGTGGGAGAAACAAACGAATAGAGTCAAGGGACAGGGAGAGGTCAAATAGTGAAACCACCATTTGCCCCCTACCCCTTGCACCTCAGCAGGCCCCGAAACGAGTATGATTAAAGTCAAGCCAGGCCGGCCATTTCAAGAGCTTCTTTCGGCCGGGTCTGAGAATCTTCACCACTCGATCGCACCACACCACTATCTGAGCATCCACCAACCTCTAGGCACCCCCTGAGCTAAGGTTCAAAACCAGCCTTTCCCCCTCGCCCCTTGCGCCTCAGCCAGCCCAGAAATGAGTACCTGGCGAAAGTCAAGCCGGGCCGGCCATTTGGAGAGCTTCTTCCGTCCGGGTCTGAGGGTCTTCACCACTCTTAATCGCACTGCGCCACCAGCTGAGCCTTCAAAATCCCCATATTGAAATCCTAGATTCTGCACCTAAGCCCAGCCCAGAAAGCTGAATGTTAGTACCTGGTGAAAGTCAAGCCGGGCCGGCCACTTGGAGAGCTTCTTTCGGCCTGGTCTGAGGGTCTTCACGACTCGATCGCACCGCACCACCAGCTGAGCCTCCACGAGCGCGTGAAACACGGCTTCCTCTATGGGCTTGCGAAGGCTCGCGACATCTTCCGCGGGGATTAATGGCGTCGCGAGATCGGGGTGCTTACGAATGAGGTCTGCGAAATCCTTTCCGCGAAAATACTCGATCCGGTTTTCCTGAAGTGGAGGACGGGGTGTAACGAAGGACGACAAAGAAGCTGGTTCACGGGGGAAACACAACATTCCAACAATCCGAAAGTGCGTAAGAAAAACAAAAGGAACGAGCTAACGACAACAATAAATGAACGCGAGTTTGATTCTTTGTGGTACGGAATGGATCAGCGTTGCCGGTGAAACGATGACGATCGCGAAGAAGAGTAAGAAATGTGAACTACGGCAATGATAAGGTATGGCAATGATAAGGAACGGCAATGATAAGGTATGGCAATGATAAGGAACGGCGAATGCTGAGCTTACGCGAATGATAGCCCATCTCGAGTCCAATTCTCTGTGGTACCGAAGCTTATCCGCCGTGATCTCCGCTGGCGACTTCACCTTCTTCTGCGGCTTGGCAGTTTGCGATGCTCGCCGATCTTTTTTCGCCATCGCGAAATGTGTAACCTAGCCTTCGCTTCTTAATGGATCAGAGTCGATTGAAAGGGAAGCCAACAGCAGCCTAACCTGCACTTGCGACTTCGCGTCGTAAAACTTTGAAACTAACGCTTATACTTCATGGCTGATTGATCCTATTCGATCACATGACAAAGTCGTCAGAAGTTGGCAGGATGAAATCTAGGAGATATGCGGGAAGGCTGCATTCGTAAAAAGTCACTCGATATAGTTTTTCCGTAAGGTTCTAGAAGTCTCTTGCTTTAAATATAAATAAACAATGTACATAGGGATGAAAATATTCATTATCCTTTACAAGAAAAAATTCGATCTAACCACATGAGCGCATTACCTTGCGGCAGGTGAGGCAATAACGGGATCGAACTCCAGGCCAAATCTTTCACCCACAGAAGAATCCAGAATCTTCAAAATATCCTTCCTGAAATTCTCATTGTGGGTCTTTCTATCTCCTCCACCATGCCCGCCGTTGTTGCCGCCGCAGCATCCGCTTCCGCTATCGCTGTCGCCACCACTGCTGCTCGGTGCGCTTCTCGGATTGCCTCCTCCCGTTCCCACCAATCGGGTGTCACCCTCTCCCGCTTTACCCGGTCTTCCAGGAGACCTACCGCCTTTTTCCCCAGACTCATCCCCGCGCAAACTTCCCCCCCGGCGTTTGTTCCGCGGAGGAGTTTTTCGACTCTGTTGCCTTCCGCCTTTGCGCGCTCATCAGCGCGTTCCGCACACGTCGCCTCAACCGATTCCACCGGTTTCTCCCCAAGAGCCATGGCCGGCGAGGGTGACAATAGCGGGGGCGCCGCGAAGGCCAAGAAAGTGCTTGTACCGATCGCGACTGGGACGGAGGAGATGGAGAGTGTGATTGTAGTGGATGTGCTTCGACGTGCGGGAGCCGAGGTGGTGGTTGCGTCCGTCGAGCCGCAGAAGGCGATCGTCGCGTCGCGCGGAGTGAAGCTCGTCGCTGATGACGTCATCACGTCGGTCGTGGATACGGATTTCGACCTCGTCGTCTTGCCAGGTAATGTGCTTCAAACGAGGAATTGGTGTTTCTTTTAAGAAGAAAAAACAACGAGGAATCTTGGCTAGAGCAGTGGCATGGGACATATAAGTGGAAAAGATACACTAAGTGACAGGGGGTCACGAACCGTAGGATATGGGGTCAGAAACCCGTAGGCGGCATGCCAGGCGCGGAGCATCTGAGTGACAGCGCTCCCCTCAAGCACGTTATTGAGGTGCCTAACTTTTTTCTTCCCCTGTCTCCCTTTCCTTCTCCCCCTCTCTCTCCTGCAGGAGGCATGCCAGGCGCCGAGTACCTGAGGGACAGCACACCCCTCAAGCAGATCGTGGAGCGCCACATGTTGCTCCCCCATTCGTCCGTGGCTGCTATCTGTGCCGCCCCTGTGGTGGCCCTCCAATCGTGGGGCGTCCTGACTGCCACCACCAAAGCCACAGCCCACCCGGCCTTCTCCGATAAGTTGACTGGCGTTGACCCAGCCGTTACCGCATCTCGGGTCGTGGAAGACGGTAACGTGGTTACCAGCCGTGGCCCTGGCACTGCGATTGAGTTTGCACTTGCGTTGGCAACTCGGCTGTTCGGGGAGGCGAAAGCAGCTGAGGTAGCCGCAGGGATTGTAGCTGCAAAGGGGGACGGATCAGATCTGCTGCGTGTGGTGGAAAACAAGGATAAGATTCCGAAGCCGAAGAAGGAAGGGGAGGAGGTGACAGTGCTGGTGGCAGTGGCTGACGGAACAGAGGATGTGGAGGCAGTTGTTCCCATTGACGTGCTCGTGCGTGCGGGGGCGAAAGTGACTGTTGCTTCTGTCACTGATTCTCTGGATTTGAAGCTTCGTTGCGGTACGAATCTCACTGCTGACACCACCCTCACTGACGTCGCTGCTGCAGGGCGCAAGTTCGACCTTGTGTTTGTTCCCGGGGGTATTCCAGGGGTAAACTACCTTCGCGACAGCACCTTGCTGGACGGCATTCTGCGTGAGCAAGTTGCAGAGGGGAGGCTATGTGCGGCCATCTGTGCTGCTCCGGTCGTGGTTCTCCAGTCCAAGGGATTAATCCAAGGGAAGAAGGCTACAGCACACCCATCACTTTCTGACCAGCTTGCGGATCAATCCGCAGTGCTGGCACGTGTAGTCGTGGATGGTCCAATGGTGACGAGTCGAGGGGCAGGAACGGCGTTTGAGTTCGCGCTGACCCTGGTGGAGTACCTTTTTGGAGAAGATAAGGTTGTGGCGGTAGCCAAGCCGATGGTCATGAGCCCTACGCTTGTGCCAGTGCCCGTTCCAGCATAGTGCAAATGTTGGTGGGCTTGGCCTTTTTCAGATAATTTTACATTGGTGGTTGAAACTGTAAACTATGCGTTTTGTTCATTGTTCTGAAACTCTTTACCGTATTAGAGACCTGAAGCAGTTTGTTGGGATTTATATATTGAGTCAACAGGTAGTAGCACAGGCTAATGTCCTACAAGTCTAGCTCAAGCTCCCGCTGACTGTACGAGATTATATTCAAAGAAACCAGCAAGAATGTCTAGTGATTGCTAACCATACTATAGGTAGTAGTGTAAGATGTATCCGCAGCTAGCAACAGTTGCTCTTCTGTTGCAGAGGCCTGCTCTCTCCTGGACGAACGGTCTGTCCTGTCTTGTTCCCCAAAGCTGGCTGGCTCGCCATCCTGCACAGTATACAATTAATTCAACATTCCGGATTTCGTATGGAAGCAGCGGAAAAGGTGGTTGGGAGAAGGGAGGAGTATGGGGGGTTGGTGCCAAGGAGAAAAATGGGTGGGGGGGAATCCTGCAAAACTCTCAAGGAAAGAGAGGTCGGGGGGGAATGGTTGGGGGGGGGGCGGCGGGAGGGAAGAGACCTCCAATGTTGCAAGAAAAGAGAACCATCAAAGGCGGAACTATGGGGGTAAAGTGGCGCGAGCGTACTCCAAGCAGGAAGAGATACGAACAAGGAGGAGATAAGTGGAAGAAGGACGGAAAGGGGGGGGGAGAGGAGGGGGGAGGCAAAGGGGAGGTTGGGACAGGAAACGCATGTTGAAGGTATTGGTGGGTGGGCAAAGGGAGCAGCAGAATGGAGTAGAGGGAAATGGAAGGGGGAGGTTGGGACAGAACACAGATGTTGAAGAAATTGGTGGGTGGCCAAAGGAAGCAACAGAATGGAGTAGGTGAGTGACGACAGTGCCAAATTCGGGCACAGAAGTTGAGCCAGGTGAAAGATACTGTAATCGAACTACATACCTGTTCTTAATCTCAGCTGCCATAGTCATGAAAGCCTGCTCTACATTTGTGGCGTTTTTCGCACTGGTCTCCAAAAAGGGGATGCCAATCTCATCAGCAAAAGCCTGCCAGCAGTTCAGGATAGACGGAGGGAAGATGACATTGACGCAATCGCAGCGTATCGTATGCTACCATGAACAGCCCAGTTCGCCAGGAAGCCAGTGCATCCAACTCATATTTCCTTGTTTTGCTGTAATTTCTGATGATATGATCTCAAAGTTGGTAAGAAAAGCTGCGGGAAGCAGATACAGTAGCTCGGCTCTCGAAACTAATCTCAAAAGAGGAAGAGAATCCACCTAGGTAGGTCTCACCTTAGCCGTTTGATAATCCACGACTCTCTTGTTGGTAAGATCGCACTTATTCCCCACAAGCAGCTTGTTGACGTTCTCGCTAGCGTATCGGTCGATTTCGTTCAACCACTGCTTCACGTTGTTGAAGCTCTCTTGATCAGTAACATCGTAGACAACCTGCGCCATAGTCATCAGTGAAAAAGTCAGCAAAACGACATATCCACTATCTCCCGACAAACTTAACGATAAGCGAGTCACTTACGATAATTCCATGTGCTCCACGATAGTAACTGCTAGTGATGGTTCTGAAGCGTTCTTGTCCTGCAGTGT